TGTGGCCTGCCCCCCCCCCCGATCCCCCCTTCCACACCCCCGCCTGCCACATGCCCTTCTTCTCCCCAGATTAAGGCTGTGCCTTTCCAAGAGCCAAGTAAAGAGCTCAGGGTGGCAATAAGCTAGCTTGGGTTCCAGGAAGACAAAAGGGGCAGAATGAGCACCAAAGGGACCAGAAAATCATGAATAAATGTGCTGAGCCGGAAACTTTCTCGTGCCTAATTAGGAATTTGTTCTGCCATCTGTTGAAATGAGGCCGGGGAGATCGCAGGCCCCCAAGCTCTCCCAAGGAGGAGCCTCAGGCCAGCCCCCTTACGCTGCCAGAATGGGACTAACGGGTTAAGAGACTTTGCAAATAGCCCCGCGTCCAGAGAAAACGTCAGAATGTAAATGACAAGTGTCCTTGTTGATTCTGCTGTGCCCCCAAATAAGTCTGGGGATACCAGGCTGGTCAGTTTGGTGTCCCCAGCAAGTGAGAGAGAGAGAGCATTAGCAGCTCGGGTGCCTGGCCAGCCTCTTGGTCTCTCTGTGAGCTCCCCCAGGCAGCTACTCCAGGTCTGAGCAGAGGCCTCTGGCGTGGTGATGGGTGCTACACCTCCAAGTTATCAAAGTTATCATACTGCACCCCTCACCCTGTTCCTTTGATGTGGGTCAGGTGATGTCTGTGCCGAATGAGAAAACAAGCCCCATCGAGCAGCTTAAAGCTGCCATGGGAGCCACAGTGAGCATTGCCATCATTGTCAACTCAGCTAACTGTCACATCCCGAGAGAAGCCTCACAGCGAGCGTCTCTAGAGACCGGCCAGCGGGTTGGGGACACAACCTCAGCCGCGACTGGAAACAGGGGTGGTGCAAGGTGTCCGTACTAGGTACCCGCGCTGAGATCTGCACAGCCTCGCCTCACCCCCACTGTGTTCCTTGGTGCACACGGGGAAGGGGGCCCTCTACCCCAGCCTCCACCCCCACCACCTTCAGGGAAGCTCAGCCTCCAGGAAATGAGAAACAAGCCATCTCCTGGGGGTCAGGGGCTCCTTTAGAGCCCCTAGCTCTATCAGCAGCAAGTGGACCAGGACAAAGGAAAGGTAGCCAGAGCACCGTCCTTCGTGCCCACAGGTCCAGCAGCCGTGGCCTCAGATCCTGAGCCTTATGCATGCAGACCTATGCCAGTCAGCTGTTCCCACCCTGGATGCCCAGTGTGTGGGGCTCTCGGCCTGGAAGAGGCCACAGAGGCATCATTACTTCAGTCCCTTTACATACATTCCCCCAGGCTCATGCAGACAGCTCCCGCTTGGGGACCTGAACAGCTGGCTCGGCTCAGGGTGCCCATTCGGTGTTACTAAAACCCGATTCTTTCTAATAAAGGCTGCTGTGGAGCACAGCCGCCCTGCTCAGGTCTGTGCTGTTGGGGACCCACAGGGCTCCCTCCCCGCTGTTTGTGGATTCAGAGCAGACACCGAGCGTTCTTCTGTCTCTGTGTTCCC